AGTATAATAATGGCAATGCGTTTCCTTTAACCTGTTGTTAAGCTCTCTTGACTAAAACACTAAATATATTCATCTAATTTTTCCTTGGGCTAAAATTTTTCACTTAACAACTAAAATGCTTGAGATATCAGTAATGAACACAAACTACCTTAGATTCCCCTGATTTAAATGCAAAATAATACCTTTAGTTACATGTGGTTGATAAATTCTTGCTTGCACATTCAGCCCTCACAATTTGTCTGATTACAAGTTTAACACTCACAAACAGGTTGACTGATACAACAAACCTTTGGTTGTTCCCAGGAGAATGGTCTGGGTAGAGCTCTCTGTCAGTTTGGATTTATTCCAAGCAATGGCATTAATAAGATGCCCCTATAATTAAATAACAATAAAAATTAATATATTTTTGTGTTATACAGTGCATAGTTAGTAAATTATTTATAATATCATTATATGGCTTGTGTTTGTAGTCGATAAAATGCATGCTCTGATTAGCTGACTCTAGAACGTAACATTCTTCTCCTGTAATGCCCATGGGTTATAAACTTAAGACAAAGCAAACAGCCATATAATGAAAAATTTATTAACCTCAAATGTTGTATCGTTACGGGAAAATCTTAAACCTTAGCCTTGCCACATTGACCTTGCTATCGCTCAGTCAATATGGCAAGGTCTCAGTTTGAGAATTTCCTATTAAGACCTCACTCTCGGTTAATAAGCAGTTAATAATTGAAAACATTATTTATAAATAACTCATGAAAGAAAAACAGAAGAAAAGAGAAGTTGCAAATTAAATTATTTTCTTTAGAACATGTACCTTCATCTTTGCCAATGGTTTGGGTTTCTTGGAATTTCTCGCTAAATAAAAGGATTCTTGGGATTTCATGCAGACAATGAGATGTCTAGCTGTGGGGTCCATGAAGATTCGATGGATAGAGTCATCAACGCGTTTGGTTATATCAACACCTGAGTGTATAAAAAGAGTTATCATGCTACAGCTAGCTGATGGCTTTAAGGTTGACTTGCACAGAGAATGTTATTAAATTCTTAATGAGTTAATGATAAAAAGCATTTATAGAACATCTTTAACCAAACAGATATAACAGTTCTGACATCTTTGCATACTTACGATCTATTTCACTAGGGTTTGACAAGTCTAGCCTCATTAAGACATTATTGCTCAGAGCTATGGCCACCATATTGTTGCAGACCACAACATCCACAATTGTGCTTGGAGGTCTGAAAATATAAATTATAAATTCAGGTTAATTTGGCCCAGAAGGTGTTATTTAGGCTAACTGGAGTGCACACTTCCACTTTCACCTCCATTTTCCATTTATCAAGTAGTAACCTTACACAGATTAACCATTATTCATTCTAATCATATTGAAAGTCTGCACTCTGGTTAACTCAGCTAATGCTCCGATATAGCCTGAGTAACTTCCAGATTAGCCAAGCAATGCTCAGGTTAGCCTGAATTATATTATAACGCTCAGGTTAGCCTCTTTGCAATAAGCTCTGATGATGCAAATGGTAACACTACACACTTAAAAAGTTTGTGATCTATTGTCTACATTTTATTTGTGGTCTGCAGTCTGCAATATTACCCTCAGTCTGCATTTTATGACCAGCCTGTACACAGTCTGTATTTACGCTGCATGACCACCTATAAACAATAATTATTGGATGAGGTTTTTGTGATATCCAGAATAATCAAGGTCGAGGTAGGGGTTATCAGCCAAAGCCAAAGGTTGAGGCTGATAACCCTTACCAAGACCTTGATTATTCTGGATATCACAAAAACCCGAATCTAAAACAAGTCATGTTTTTACTTCTTCACTGACGGCAAGCAACACAAACCACGCCAACTTGACATGATTACCCCTAGAAATCATGCACCGTGGTCATACAAGACATGATTACCCATGACCTTGAGTGTCCTTGACAAGACTATTGTATAATCTGCAGCTAGATGTCACAGGCGCTGATTTTGAAAATTCACTGTACGCTTTCGGCCAATCAGAAAATAGATCGTGAGTTCAAAGTGTAATAAATTGAGTTATACATATAATGCATGCCGCCTACACCAAGTATTTGGGTGCATGCAATTCTTGGACATTAAAATATTTCAGTATCACCCAACTAGTGGACTAATGCAAACCCTGTATTTTGATTGGCTATGCTACTAGAGGACTGTAGTCCTTGAGTAGCGAAATTGGCGCAA